CGCTACCAGGCTGACTCCGGGCTGCTGAGGCTGCCGCTGCCACGTTTCCTGGGGACAGATTTACAAATCTGGGGACATTCCGGGGATGGAATTTTTCCGGGGACCAGGGACGTCTGGTAACTCTACCTTAGCAGTCAGGGGGATGGTAGTGGGGATGAACAGCAGATTCCTCAATGGCCTTGATGATGATGCCAGTGGTGAGGTCTTATCGAACCCAACTCTGTATAGAATAAAAGTATAATGCACACCAAATGTCCCACGGCAATTCGTATTATGACTCAAAATAATATCGGCACAAAGCATAGGCGTACAGTCACAAGGAACTTGAAAAAAATATGTACATGGTCTTGCAATTTGCTATTCAATATAACCAAGATTGAGAGTTGAACCTTGTAGTAAATCTTGTAGATAAAGACTGTGTACACAAAGGACTCCAGCCAGCAATGAGACATCCATTTAAGGTCTTCATTTCATATGCCTTCTTCAGGTCGGTCCAGATATATTATAAATGTCAAGTTCGTTTTCATAATTGGACCAGTATAATGTTAGTAGTGAGGTTGGATCTTGCCAAGAAGACTGTGGCCGTTCTAAGTGCTCTGCTATATTAACCCCCTTTCCCTCCTCCTTTCCCTTTCTCTGATCTCTCTCAGGTGGGTTGCAAGGTAGCAGTGACCTTGTTCCTTTACTTCCTGGCCACCAACTACTACTGGATCCTGGTGGAAGGCCTCTACCTTCACAGCCTCATCTTCATGGCCTTCTTCTCGGAGAAGAAGTACCTTTGGGGATTCACGTTATTTGGCTGGGGTGAGTCTTGCCTCCCGTCGGCCTTACGCAACTGCTCAGAGTTTCCCGGGTGGTTTGAGAGATTACCTGGTCAAGGAGATAGATGGGGCATGTTTGTGTAGCGATGTGGATATGAGAAAATGGACTTTTAGTAACGTCGGGAAATGATTTGAGAAAAAGAAATTGGTAGTTCTTTTCCCTAGGAGAGGACAGCAGATGAGCCCTTGGTTTGGATTTTCCTGTTGGATTAATTTAGATGAGTAAGAGATGATATTTTGTTTGGTAATTATCCTTCCTCTTTTCACTTGTGTGAGAGTGCAGATACCTATTCAGGTTTAAGGTGCTGGTTTTAACCCTTAAAGCCCTATACGGTCTAGGACCCTCGTACCTACGGGACCGCCTCTCCCGGTATGTCCCACAGAGGAACTTACGGTCTTCAAACAAAAACATCCTGAAGATCCCAGGCCTCAGAGAGGTTAGGCTGGCCTCAACTAGAGCCAGGGCTTTTTCGGCCGTGGCCCCGATCTGGTGGAATGCTCCGTCACAAGAGACCAGGGCCCTGCGGGACTTGACATCTTTCTGCAGGGCCTGCAAGACAGAGCTGTTCCACCAGGCCTTTGGTCAGGGAACAGCCTGACTCCCTCCTTTGGCAATCTTCACAGAACTCTAGCCCAATGGTTGCCATTAATTTGATTCTGAATTGATTTTAGAATGAATGATTTTAGAATGTTGTACTATTTTATTGTTGTTAGCCGCCCTGAGCCCAGCTTCGGCTGGGGAGGGCGGGATATAAATAAAAAATATTATTATTATTATTATTATTATTATTATTATTTCAGCAGAGAAAAAGCACCATCTGTGCACAGGTTTTCTCTAGAAGCTGTTTGGGACAAGGTTGCGTAATCTTCCAGAACAATTATGATATCTAAGGATGCCTAGGCAAACTTGGGTTGCTTTCTCCCTTTTTATGTTTCCCTCTGAACAAAGAAATCACTCTCAGACTTTTATGTAAACAGGAAAATACAGTGGTACGTCCGGTTGAGCATGGGATCCATTCCAGAGCTCTGGTTGGATCCCGAGGAATTCACAACCAGGTGTGCCTGTTCTGCGCATGCGCACAGTGCAGTAGAGCTCTTCTGCGCATGCGCGCGGGGCGAAACCCGGAAAAATACTTTCGTGTTTGCCACAAGCGTAACCCAAAGGATACGCAACCAGAGGTGTACGTATCCAGAGGTATCACTGTATAAGGTTTACTCACATTAAAAGTCTTGTCAGGCTTCAACAGGTGCAGGGATGAAAATCAGGCAGGCAATAATTCTTAAAAGTTAGAAAAGTCCACAGTCCAGTTCAAAATGGAGTGTGCTGTTGGGAGGAGAGCTCCATTGCAGGTAAGAGACAGAGTGTGTAGTAACAGAAAGAAGAATCTTAAGTTTTTATTTTTCCCCTTCCTGCCACACAAGTTTAGGAAATATGGCATCATAGAGTCCCCTGTTTGTGACTATCTCTCAACTACACATTTGTGATTTGCTGCAGATCCCCCTCACATTTCCAGGACCTTTATGAGAATGAAATAAAAATGGCTCTACTCTGAGTAGGGCCAACATGGGATACAACCCCCATACGTATTTCTGAATGCATTAGAAGCTGAGCTAAAGGAGTCCACCTATCGCTAACTGTGATCACTCCATGTTATCAGAATGTCTGTAAGTTTCTGAGGTGATGTGGAGCTGAACAACAGGGAATCCATTTTTCAACAGTGGCAACAAACCCTCAGGAACATATCATAATGGAAACACAAATGTGTGGAGGGGCAACTTTGTTTGGCCTTAATGGCTAAAACTGGATAGCAATGGGTAGATGTTTCATCAATAACGTTTGATGCCAGTGTGGTGTAGTGGTTAAGAGCAATAGACTCGTAATCTGGGGAACGGGGTTCGCGTCTCCGCTCCTCCACATGCAGCTGCTGGGTGACCTTGGGCCAGTCACACTTCTCTGAAGTCTCTCAGCCCCACTCACCTCACAGAGTGTTTGTTGTGGGGGAGGAAGGAAAAGGAGAATGTTAGCTGCTTTGAGACTCCTACGGGTAGTGATAAAGCGGGATATCAAATCCAAACTCTTCTTGTGGCTACCACGACATACCTATCTGCTTGGACGGAGGCTAGAAAACAACATTTTGGGTTTAGAATATAGTCAGTAAACGAGACGGGTGTTTGCTGGGGCGTGGAATGGGGTCTCCAAGGGTACGTTGCTTGCTTTGCGAGGGAAACTGGTGAAGCTTTCAAAAAAAAGCAAGCTCCATCTGCACGCTTTCCTCCTTCTCTGCTTGTATATTTTCAAATAAACCCATGTGGCAAAAAGTAAAAACAGTAAGAACACACCAGTCTCTTGTCCCAAGCAAGCTGAACTGGGCTATGTCCCTGCAATGTCCTTCAGCTCAGGGCATCGGGCAGGTACGCAACTTTAAGAATGGGGCCTGCATCTGTCCAAAGAGCGATAGACAAGGTCGAGGAGAGAGCCAGGCTGCCATTTTGAAACCACAATAGCCGATGTCCCTTGTTCTCCTGGGTTTGTCAACGTCACAAGGCAGGCTCACCTCAGCCGGATTGTGGGGTCCTGGGGCAGCCCCTCATCCTGCTTTCTCCCACCCATTCCCTTTCCCCTCTTCCTTCCGCTCACGTTAAGGGGGGGGGGCAAGGTCTATTTGAAGTAAGCAGGGGCTGCCTCGGGTACGTCGACGCCTGGAAGAACGGCAACCTGCAATTTTCAGAGGAAGTAGAGCTGCTGTTGAAAACAGGATGTGGTGATGAAGTGTGCGCAGTTCATTAGCTGGAGCCGTTCTGTTTCCATGGAGCGGTGCTTCAGGGAAGGGAAGGGAAGGTTCTCGAAATAGCATAATCTCATCAAGTGCAAGGAGGGTGCGTGGCTGCGATAGCGGCCGACTCAGATGGCTTAAAAGAGGATTAGACAAATTCGTGGGGGAGAGGGCTGTCAGTGGCTGCCAGCCAGGATGACTATGTCTGCCTCCACAGTTGCAGACCCTCCAGGTGTCCCTATTTTCCAGGGAGAGTCCTGGATTTACAGAAGCCGTCCTGGTTTCTGATTTGATCGTGGAATGTCCCGCTTTTCCTTAGGACGTCCCTGTTTTCATTGGAGAAATATTGGAGGGTATGGAATATGACGTCCCTGTTTCCATTGGAGAAATATTGGAGGGTATGGATAGGATGTCCCTGTTTTCATTGAAAAAATATTGGAGGGCATGGATAGGATGTCCCTGTTTTCATTGGAAAAATATTGGAAGGTGTGGATAGGATGTCCCTGTTTTCATTGAAGAAATATTGCAGGGTGTGGATAGGACGTCCCTGTTTTCATTGAAGAAATATTGGAGGGTATGGAATAGGACGTCCCTATTTTCATTGTAGAAATATTGGAGCATATAAATAGGATGACCCTATTTTCATTGTAGAAATATTGGAGGGCATGGAATAGGACATCCCTGTTTTAATTGACAAAATATTAGAGTGCATGGATAGGACGTCCCTATTTTCATTGTGGAAATATTTCATGACATTGATAGGACGTCCCTGTTTCCATTGAAGAAATATTGGATGGCATGAATAGAACGTCCCTGTTTCCATTGAAGAAATATTAGAGAGCATGGAATAGTACGTCCCTGTTTTCATTCTGGAAATATTGAAGGGCATGGATAGGATGTCCCTGTTTTCATTGAAGAAATATTGGAGGGTATAGAATAGGACGTCCCTGTTTCCACTGAAGAAATATTGGAGGGTATATGCAGTTGGAGGCAGCAATGCTTCTGAAAACCAGTTGCTGGAACCCACAGAAGGAGAGCGCAAGCTGATGTTCTTCTCCCTAGTTTCCGAGATGCATTTGGTCAACCACTGCGAGAAGGGTTTGCTGGACTAGATGGGCCATTGGCCTGATCCAGCGTGCACTTCTTAGGTTCTTAAGGGAGGGGAAGTGTCTTCTCAGTGGCCTTTTCATTTTGACTAGGCGTCTCTAGGATGCTGGAGGAAGAGACCCTCCTGCAGAGATAGTCATGGTTCTTTGACCCCCCCGCAACCTCAGGCCACTGCCCCTCTGAGTGCGCCTATCTGGTCATTTGGCCCTTTCCATGGTTCATTCCAGTTGTGGAGAGTGGGGAGGCAGCTCAGGGCCTAGCAGCGCCCCCTTGGCCAGCTTCAGCTGAGATGACCTGACCTTATAGGACCTGCATTGTACACACTGTGTTTATAGACTGGAGATGCACAGCGCATGCAATGTGGATGCTATAGAAGTCAATTTCGGCGGTGCCACCCGTTGAGGTTTTCTGGAAACCAGGCAGTGCATGTGTCTGGGTGTGCAAGAGGGGGGCTGATCAATGGAGAACGTAGAAATACAATTTGTGCCCACGGACGCCGCTCTTTTCAGTGTAAGGTAAAGGTAAAGGGACCCCTGACCATTAGGTCCAGCGCTCATCTCGATTTATTGGCCAAGGGAGCTGGTGTACAGCTTCCGGGTCATGTGGCCAGCATGACTAAGCTGCTTCTGGCGAACCAGAGCAACGCACGGAAACGCTATTTCCCTTCCCACTGGAGTGGTACCTATTTATCTACTTGCACTTTGATGTGCTTTCGAACTGCTAGGTTGGCAGGAGCAGGGACCGAGCAATGGGAGCTCACCCCGTCGCGGGGATTCGAACCGCCAACCTTCTGATCGGCAAGTTCTAGGCTCTGTGGTTTAACCCACAGCGCCATCCACGTCCCTCTTTTCAAAGTGTAAGCAGAAGCAAATAGAAACCCTCCAGGTCTCTGCCCCAAGGAGCTTACACATGTAAGGGGGAGGTGTCAGCAGAGGGACAGGAAGAGCAAGGGCAACGAGGGAGGACTATGCAGTTTTGTGCTTCAGTTTTGGCTGTGAGGGTGGGTCGCTCCCAGTGGTACCAGTGGTTTGCCTGCCCTGGGTGCCTGCAACCCATGCTACACCACTGGAGGAACGTTTTCACCTGGCGCCTGAAGATATGAAATGAAGGCGGCAGGCGAATCTCCCTGGGAAGAGCATTCCTCCCAACGGGGAGCCACCACAGAAAAGGCCCTGTTCTCGTGTTGCCGCCCTCTGGGCCTCTCGTGGAGGAGGAGGGCCTCAGATGAGGGTCTCAGGGTCCGGGTAGGTTCATACGGGGAGAGGCCATCCTTTTGCTATTGCGGCCCTGAGCCGTTTAGTTCCGCACAAAATGAAAACACGTCAGAGCTAGATGGACCCTATGGTCTGACTCAATATAAGACAGCTTCCTATGTTCCTGCAAAGTGACACTATAATTTCCCATTTTCACCCGTCTCAATTCCTTTTCTCTTCCAGGGCTCCCTGTTGTGTTTGTTACATTCTGGGCGACGTTAAGGGCGACGTTTGCAGACACAGAGTAAGTCTATAAGCTACTCTTTCCCTTTCTTAAAGAGCCCGGGGCTCTATCCCAGCTCTTCTGCCCAGACACTGACTCCAGCGCCGAGGGCCTTCTGGCGGTTCCCTCGCTGCGAAAAGCTAAGCTACAGGGAACCAGGCACAGAGCCTTCTCAGTGGTGGCACCCGCCCTGTGGAACACCCTCCCAGCAGATGTCAAAGAGAAAAACAACTACCAGACTTTTAGAAGACATCTGAAGGCAGCCCTGTTTAGGGAAGCTTTTAACGTTTGACATTTTAATGTATTTTTAATCATATATTCAACACACACAAAACAGTGACAATTTGTTGTTGACGAAGGGCAGCTGGACATATATAGGGTCCCATTACCTTCAGTAGCTCAGGGCCTCATCGAATCTAAATCTGGCCCTGACTAATTGGGGCCGGCTCACCCAAGAGGCAACTGCCTCGGGCGGCAGAATCCATGGGGCAGCAGAACTCAGTGTAGATTTTTATCCCTCTCTTGTTCCTGAGGTTGATCTTCACTCACTCCTCCTTCCCTGGCAGGGGGTGGGGGGCACTGTTTTGTGGTTCGCCTCAGGGGCCAAAATGCCCTGACTCTCACTTTGACGGCGTCCCTCTTTCCTCTGCAGGTGCTGGGATTTAAGTGCTGGCTACTTCAAATGGGTTATTCAGGTGCCTATCCTCATAGCTGTCATGGTAAGTCGAGAAGACTGGCGTCGAGAGAGGAGGAGAATGGGAGATTCTTAGTCTGGGAGGGGGGCTCGAGAGCAAACAGGGGGTGGGAGCAGGATGCAGCCAGGAACAGTGTGAAAGTTATTATTATTATTACTTATTGAGTTTGCAACGTTCTTCTAAGTGTTCACTGTGGTTTCTGCTTATTAAAATGATGCACTTTTGAGCCAGGTACAGTGGTCCCTTGGTTCTCAAACTTGGTCCGTTCCAAAACCAAAGCGTTCGAAAACCAAGGCGCGCTTTCCCATAGAAAGCAATGCAAAACGGATTAATCCGTTCCAGACTTTTAAAAACAACCCCCAAAACAGCAATTTGACATGATTTTTACTCTCTAACAAGACCATCGATTCATAAAATGAAAGCAAGAATCAATGGACTGTACTGTAAAATAAATAAGACAGTATAGTAGATGATAAAAATTAAAATTATTATTTTTTCCTTACCTGCCCTGATGATAGTCATTTTTTGGATGGGGGGCTTTTATCCATTTCCGCAGTCAAGCAATCAATCAGTCAGTAGCTGAACTGGGTTCCGACATGATTGAAGTTTATACAATTTTGCACAGCATGGAAAAAGGGGAATGTTTTCGCCTTCTCTCGTAACATTAGAACATTTGAACATTTTATGAAGCTGAACATTGGAAGATTCGGGACAGAGGGGGGAATAGACTAGTAGTTAAACTGTGGAACTCCTTGCCACAAGGGGAAGTGGTGGCCAACACCTTCAATGGCTTTAAAAGAGAATTGGACAAGTTCAGAGGGCAGAGAGCTATCAACGGCTTCCACAGTCAGAGGCGGAAATGCACAGTTCCTGGAAACCACAGGAGGGGAGAGTTGCTCTTGTGTTCAAATCCTGCTTGCCGGTTTCCTATAGGCATATGACTGGACTAGTAATGGGCCGTCGGCCTGTCCCAGCACACTCTTCTTCTGTTCTTAAATCACTCTAAACCAGCGGCTCTCAACCTGTGGCTCCCCAGATGTTGTTGGACTACAACTCCCATCACCCCTAGCTAGCAAGCTCAGGGATGATGGGAGTTGTAGTCCAACAACATCTGGGGAGCCACAGGTTGAGAAAGGCTGCTCTAGACCATGAGGACTAGAGTAAGATTACCAGATTTTTTTTCAATGAATCCGGGGACACTTTTCAATTTCAATAAATAGATGGATTTTGTCAGGGGGCTGATTTGTAAATCCGGGGACTGTCCCCGGGAAATGGGGACGTTTGGTAACCTTAGACTAGAGCAGGGGTCAGCAAACTTTTTCAGCAGGGGGCCGGTCCACTGTCCCTCAGACCTTTGGGGGGCCAGACTATATTTTTGGGGGGAATGAACGAATTCCCATACCCCACAAATACCCCACAGATGCATTTTAAATAAAAGGACACATTCTACTCATGTAAAAACACGCTGATTCCCAGACCGTCCGCCGGCCAGATTGAGAAGGCCATTGGACCGGATCCGGCCCCCAGGCCTTAGGTTGCTTACCCATGGACTAGAGACTTGCTTTATTTTCAGAATGCCATTCCCAGCTGCCTGTTGCAGCAAAAGGCTTTGCAATATCCCCCTCTCAATTTTTTTTTTAAATAACTTTTTATTCAAAATTAAAACAAAACATATTATCCAGAAACATATCATCCTTTCCCCCCCCATTTTTCCTCCCTCCCCCTCCCTCCCCCCCCAGAACCCCCCCCACCCCCCAACTTCCCTCAGTTCCAGTCTTTGATTTCTCTAAGAATGCTGTTTTCTGCATGTTACACAGTTGTATAGCTCCTCAAACTATTTAGCTGATTATTATCAATAAAAAGTTTGTGAATGTTTATTCAAAACCAGCCAAGGAGTCCAGTTCGCTTTGTTGTGTCTTCAGATACTTTGTAAAGGGTTCTCATTCATCCTTAAAGTCACAGTTATCCTTGTCCCATAGCTTATATGTCAGTTTTGCCAGTTCTGCATAATCCATCAATTTTTCTTGCCATGATTCTTTAGTTGGGGTTTCTTTAGTCTTCCAGCCTTGTGCTATTAAAACTCTCGCAGCCGTTGTCGCATACATGAAGATGTTTTTCAGCTTTTTTGGCAGATCTTTCCCTCAGTATCCCCTTCTCTAGTGACCTCCAGCCCTCTCTGCTCTCGTGGGCCTGCTCTGTCTGTCTGTCTGTCTGTCTCTCGCTCGCTCGCTCCAGATCGGACAGAAGCCCCGACAGCAAAAGGGCATCTAAGAACGTCTGCGCCAACAGCAATCCGAACATCTTGCACTCATTTCCATAATGTATTCCAAGTGCAGAACAGCCGATCTCTCTCTCTCTCTCTCTCTCTCTCTCTCTCTCTCTCTCTCTCTTTCTTTCTCACTCTGAGGAAGCCTTTTTGGCTTCGGCACAGAGAAACCTCAGCCGCGGTTTTCTCTGCTCTACTGCAAAAGAATTCTCCCCCTTTCTCTCCCTTCCTCACCCCGGGGCACCCCGAAAACAAAAGGAAACAAAACAAAACTTGACAGGAAAGAGAGGTCACGTCGGGTTTGCAAAATCTCCCCCCCAAATGTTTTTGAACTATTGTTTTTTTAAGGAAATTTGCCAAAAAATCAACACTTCTGGCATGGGTTCTCCCGGACATTTTTACCGAATTTTTCTGAAAATCTACCCGGACGCTGTTTCTGACAGATGAATCCTAGATAAGTCCGGGAAATTCCAGACCTATGGCAGCCCTAAGTCAAGGCTACCAAAGTGACTAAACACTAAGTGGACCACAGCTCAAACACTGAATAGGAACATTTGCAAAAATGGTCCACTGCTCTGGGATTTTCTCTGAAGAACATCAACCCTTCATCTCATCTAAATCATTGTCTTTTCTTCTTTTTTCTTCTTTTTTTAAAAAAAGAAAATCTTTATTATTTTTCACATAGACAAATATACCTGAGTTACATAACATATAAAACGGAAAACGATAGAAATCAATAGAAACAATAAATTAAGAAAAGATAAAGGAACAAACATTAAAAAGTACAATCTATTACACTTACATGACAAATTAAAATATGTAACTTCCAATAGTTCTCATTATACTACTTGTGTTATCTGTAATCTTTGCACAGATTCCTATTATTCTGCCTTATACATGTATATATGATCCACTAATATATTTTATATCATTCTTGG